TTTTTTTAAAAAAGGAGTTGAAGGACAAGTAGGAACAGGGGCCTGGCACAAACTGACAATCTCCGAGGGGGTGAGGTGGGGCGGACTGGAAGAAATCCAACAATGAATATATACACAGGGGAGAAATGGGAGACATCTGTACCACTGTCAACAATAAAAAAAAAATACATATTTTTTAATGTTTAAAAAATCAATATAGCCCAGTTGCTCAATGGTTGAGCATCAACCTCTGAACCAAATCATGGTTCTATTCCTAGTCAGGGCACATGTCTGTGTTGTGGGCTCAATTCCCAGAGGTTCTCTGTCATCATTGATGTTTTCCTCCCTCCCTCCTTGTCCTTTGCTCTCTCTAAAATAAAATGTATTTTTAGAAGTATATACATACTAGAGGCCAGGTGCAGGAAATTCGTGTATGGGGGGGGCACAGTGGCCCTCAGCACAGCGTGCACCCTCTCCAATCTGGGACCCCTTGGGGGATGTATGAACCCCACAGGGATTGGGCCTAAACTGGCAGTCGGACATTCCTCTTACCATCTGGGACTGCTGGCTCCTAACCGCTCGCCTGCCTGATTGCCCCAAACTGCTGGCATGATTGACACCTAACCACTCCCCTGCCAGCATGATTGACGCCTAACTGCTTCCCTACCAGCCTGATCACCCTCAACTGCCCTCCCCTGCAGGCCTGGTCGCTCCCAATGGCCCTCCCCTTCCCGGCCTGATCACCCCCAACTGTCCTCCCCTGCTGGCCATCTTGTGACTGATGACATGCAAGTGGCCATCTTGTGGTGGCCATCTTCTGACGTGAGGGTGTGAGGGTCAATTTGCATATTATCGCTTTATTATTTAAGATATGCATATCCCATGGACATAGACAGTAATGTCATGAGGGCCTAGAGGCGGTGGGGGCAGCGTAGAGGGTTGCAAAGGGATGGGAGGGGGGAAAGGGAGACATCTGTACTTGAGCCAACAATTAACAAGAATAGTGTGCCCAGGTTGCATGGCTCGGTGGAGGACCCATGAACCAAGAGATGGCTGGTTAGATTTCCAGTCAGAGCACATGCCCAGATTGGGGACTAGATCCCAGTAGGGGGCGTGCAGGAGGCAGATAATCAATGATTCTCTCTCACCATTGATGTTTCTCACTCTCTCCCCTCTCTCTCTAAAAAAATCAATGAAAACATGTAAAATAAAAGAATAGTGTTAAGATTGAATTGATTCAACACCAAAGTGAGTGTGGGCCATCACATTTCCTCCCAACCCTTGTAAGCAAAACCATGCCTTTGTCTGTCTTTATAGAAGGTGTCCCAGGCATAACTGATTTCGCAAACAGGAAGCAGCCTGGAGGGGGTCTGCCTCAGGTTGGCCTGTAGTGTTTGAGTTCTTGACGTCATGCGGAAACATTTTCACAACACGAGTTCCGAACATTTTGAACGTATGTTTATTGAAGCTGCAGATTTACAAACAATGTGGCCCTAGCCAGTTTGGCTCAGTGGATCGAGTGTCAGCCTGAGGACTGAAGGGTCCTGGGTTCAATTCCCATCAGTGGCACATTAAACATAATAAATGGCCCTTGCTGGTTTGGCTCAGTGGATAGAGCGTTGGCTGGTGAACTGAAAGGTCCCAGGTTCGATTCCAGTCAAGGGCACATGCCCGGGTTGTGGGCTCAATCCCCAGTGGGGGGCGTGCAGGAGGCAGCCGATCCATGATTCTCTCTCATCATGGATGTTTCTATCTCTCTAGCTCCCTCTTCCTTCCTCTCTGAAATCAATAAAATATATTAAAAAAATAAAAATAATAAATAAATCCTATATAATAAAAGCCTAATATGCAAATCAGCTAAACAGCAGCATGACCAGTCACTAAGACGTGCACTGACCACCAGGGGGCAGACACTCAATGCATGAGCTGCACTCAGCCTGCAGGCCCCAGGCCAGCCTAGGTGGGTGCAGTGGGGGGGGGGGGGGGTAGAGATCAATCGCCCCACAGAATGGCCCCGATTACCGGCCAGGCCTAGGGACCCTACCTGTGTATGAATTTCATGCACCAGGCCTCAAATAAATAAATAAAAGAAGGCTGTGGACAGAGGATGTGGTCACAGGTAGGGTTTGGGTCCTGGGCTTGGGGCTAGTTGTAGTCCCACCTTGGGCCGGGCCAGCACAGCCATGGGTGAACCTGACAGGGGTGGGGGGTGGGCAGTGAAGGATTAAAGTGTACTGGGCTGCATATCTGGCGCTTTGGCCAGACAGGTCATGCTGTGCTGTCTGTTCCTAAAACACATAGATAGGAAGGTACTGACATCAGGCTAGGCCTTGAGATATGATCTCATGGCCCCTTCCCAGCATGCAGGACTTCTTTCTCAGAAGGCCCGCAAGTCTCATTCCAAATTTGGGAGACAAAAGACTGGGAAAAGTATAAATAAAGAGTGTTTCCTCCATATTGGGGGGCCCAGAATTTGAAAGACACATATTCTCTAGGCCTCCACAAAATGTAATAAAATGTAACTCCTGTGATCTGCACTGCAGTTCAGCCTCTGCTTCGGCAGGATGCTGTAACTGTAGTCAGCTGGCCAGCTTAATAAAGGCTCTTAAATTTAAATTCTGAATCGGTGGTCTATCTCGCTGAGTCAACCCATAACAAAAGAACATAGACAACACCACGGCCTGCAAACCGAGTCTTTATTTTATAGCCAGATTCCATGAGGCAGAGTAAGGGTGTGGCCAAGATGTTTACAACGTTCTCATGGGTTTTGAATCTACTCAGTTACATGCACCTGATCAAGCTTTGTTTCCTTGCTGCACCTCCCGCAGCCCATATCACTAGCCACCTGGGAGCCCCTCTCCACACCGCCTCAGGCGCAGCATTTCTGGATTTTAAGAAATAAACAATACACTTTTATTTATTCACCGCTTTATTGGTCATTGGAAACGTGTCAGCCACTTTCTC